AATAGTTTTCTTTTAGCTAAAGTAAGTATTGTCCACCAATAAATTCATGTATTCAAAAAATGCCTTTAAATCAACGCCTTATTATAGGATAAAACTGAACAAGATAAACATAAATAATTATTAAGAAAATGATAATTAAAAGTTATTGTTGCGGCACCCGTTTAACTAGAGGAGAATGAGGGGGAGGAGGAAATCAAAACCTATTCCCCCACCCCCTCAACGTTGCTGAAAAAAAACCGGTATCCCCAAATAAACTCTGGGTTCTTCACTGATTGTGCTAACGTAGTACCAGTAATCAAACCGCTGTGAGAGCAACATTTTCACACAAAGTTGGATAAAACTGCTTTTTTCCAATTTCACAATGATGCCAAATATCAATGTCGGCAATCTAGTAATTTCTGTACATTGGGCCGGTTAGATAGGGCCAACATGGAACCTGTGATCAAATTGACAGCAATCTGAGGTCTTTTGCCAATGTTGGGCCAACCATAGCAAAGACGTCTAAATGATGTCGGCGGGACGTCAATGTATTATCTAAGTAGTTCATCGTGCAATATTTCTTAACTCAGCTCTTTATTATACAAAGTTACATCGGCTATCTAAACAACCAATTTTTTGATTAAACAGAAAGATGTAAAAGCTCAAGTACAACAAATTGTTTTTCTTTTTAGTTGTTGCTTTCATGCTCCATGGTACTTGCAAAGCCACAATCCTATTAAAGCCCCATACCTTGATATTACAGTTCTACATCAAATGACTCTGTATAAAGATGTTTGCCGAGTAAAATAAGCTGTAGATAAAGTCATTGACTCAATATAAAAACACTCTTGGTACTTAGACTCGACTTTAATACTTCTTTTGCTTCTAGATTATAAGGTTCCTGATAAAGATAAAACACTAATCACTAAATCAATTTTATCTTACAAAATGCCATATTTTAAATCTGATTACAAAATTAAAAATAAGCCTAGATAGCACAATGGCTAGTAATCCACCAAATTTGGCAGGAGTTTATCCATAGATACATTAGTGAAGAAAAACAAATGAGACTGGTAACCATAGACAAAGTTCGTTACGCCATGAAAAAACATGTAAAAAGCCCCTGCAAGATGACAAAAAGGAATATGGAAATTTTTTTAAAATAATATTTATATTTTAAATAACATTAATAATTTCATTAAATTCAAAAGTGATTAGAAAACTTTTTTTTTTCTTTTGGAGGCTTTTTTGTAAGGGAAATAGAAAACTTAGTTTTTATCATAATTGGCCTGAGTAACTTAAAAATTGAATTTGGCGTAAAAACTTGAATCAATTTTTAATTTGTTAAAAAATGAGGAGGGAGCCAGGTGTAGATAAGGGTTTTATGGATAATTTGAATAAAAAATGCTCAGTAATAAAACAAAAACAAAAATACATATGATTTTAAATACAAAATTTATGTAGTCTAGGCCCTTTTTTTCTAAAATTCAGCCGACTTGGTTTATATTAGACAATTCTTCAACATCAGCAACTTTTGACAAAAAAATTGGTATTTTTTTCACAAAAATGAGCCTTGAGGGAGGGTCTAGAGTGTTCGAAAAATGCCTGATATGCTTTAAAACCTATTTTCTATATATTTGCCTAATATATATATATATATATATATATATATATATATATATATATATATATATATATATATATATATATATATATACTCATATAGTGTCGCTTTAAGAGCATTTTAATGTAAAAAAAGTCTCTTACGACTACAATTTTAATTACCTCGTCTCTTAAGCTGTTTTTGATTGTCATCGAAATGTCAAAGCAATTAATTTATGCGGAAGTACATTAAATTTAATTGTCTTTTAAAAAATTTTTAAAAAACCGCAATTATAACGACTAGAAAGTTTTTTTTAATTAGTGGTGTTTTTGTTATTGATTTAATAAAAAACATTTTTTAAACATGCGTAAATGTTGCTACATCGACTATCTTATAGCCTGACTCGCAACGGAGTGCTGCTACATCGACTGACAAATAGCCTGACTCGCAACGGAGTGCTGCTACATCGACTGACAAATAGCCTGACTCGCAACGGAGTGCTGCTACATCGACTGACAAATAGCCTGACTCGCAAGGGAATGCTGCTACATCGACTGACAAATAGCCTGACTCGCAAGGGAGTGCTGCTACAACGACTGACAAATAGCCTGACTCGCAAGAGAGTGCTGCTACATCGACTGAGGGTTTGGTTTGGCCAGGCAGTCTATCAATTAAAAAAAAAAATTTAATTTTTAAAACTTTTTCTGGTCTGGTTTATTAACGCGCTCTTTAAAACTACAGTTTATGGGAAATATTTTTTGATGCTACGCAAGAGACATGCAAGACTATATATATATATATATATATATATATATATATATATATATATATATATATATATATATATACAAATAGTATTGCGTACTATGGTAAGCAATCTGACGTCATACTGAAATAGCCTGCTGCTGGGGGCTTCAGTACATACATCGACTGACAAATAGCCTGACTCGCAGTGGAGTGCTGCTACATCGTCTGAGGGTTTGGGATGGGGAAGCAATCGTTTCATTCATCATTCTTCGTTTTTTCTTCTTCTTTTTCAAAAAAACGGTATAGCTTAAGGTAAGCAGAAAAAGTGAGCAAATGCTTATCAAAACACGCTTTAGTAAGTGTGTATATATATATATATATATATATATATATATATATATATATATATATATATATATATATATATATATATATATATATATATATATATATATATATATATATATATGAGATTTCACGTCTTTACATGACCACGCAAGTTACATTTTGCTATGACGGTTTGACTGCGGCTAATTCAAAAAACATTTTAGAAATGCGCTAAATAAAAAATATTTTAAAAAAGTGAAATTAATTACTTCAAAACTTCTTAACAAATGTTTTTATATTAGCGAAACGATTTTAAATAAAGTAACAATTTACTGAAAAAAAGTTTTGTTTTTTAAATATAACTGACAGTTGTATATACTTTTTAAATTTAAAACATAAATTGTTTAAGTGTTCATTTCTAAAATAAATCTTATTTAAAAATAAAAAATTGTTTTGTTTTTATAAACGATGACATTCTACAACTACAAAAATCTCTATAACGAATTTAAATATAAGAATGATTAAAGTTAATGCATTTAAAAAGATAAACAAAATTTTGTTAAAAAAAAAGTTTTAGAAAACCGTTACTATTTAATAAGTTTGATTTTAAATGCTTTTATATTATTGAAACGCTTTTAATGAAGTAAAAAAAAAACACTTCTAATTAATTTAAAAAAAAGTATTAATAAAATATTATTTAACTTTTGAACATATTAAATAAATAAAAAATATATAAAAATGTTGAAACAAAGATTAAAAAAGTTTTTTAATGCGTAAATTAAATAGACTAAGCATTTTAGTTTGATGAGTTTTGTTTTAGTTGCATTATATATATATTTATTTATTTTTTTGTATTTTTGCTTTAACTAAGTTTTTTTTTTATTTTCTCTTTCGTTAATATTTACTATTTTTTAAAAAATTTTTTTCAGATAAATTTAGGTAAGTTTTTGTAGTAAGTTTTTAAATTTTAGAAATATGCCGTGGTCAAATCGTTAAAACATTTTTTTTTTGCGTGGCCATATAAAGGCGTGAAATTGCACATCTTCCTGTGAAAGCCTGTATATATATATATATATATATATATATATATATATATATATATATATATATATATATATATATATATATATATATATATATATATATTTATATATAAAAGAGTGTTTTACATGAAGAATAGGGTGAAGTAAAAAAAACCTGTTGTGCTCTAAATTGTTAAAACAACGACAGTAATGCAAAGACTATTATTCAGCTATTTGAAGTCCTTTTTTACAGCAGAATTGAATAGACATTGGGTAAAGCATAAGTTATAGTGGCAATGGCGTATATTAAACAGAATTAACTGCTGATCTTCATCGAAATGCTAATGACACGACTCTGAGGAGATGTTTATTACTTAACCACTAAACAAATTATGATTACATAGCAGGATTACTTTTTTCCATTCTTTGCCCTTGCATTTTAAGCATACTTTTTATTTTTCAGTCAATATTTTGATTGTCACCTGTCAAAATATACTTTATTCAAAAAAAAAATCTCCTCTATTCTAATGTACTTCATTTTTCCCTGGGACATTCAATACTCATGTTTAACCATTTGGCAAATTGATATGAAAAAGTTTTAAAAAAAAAGTATGATGAATGAAATAATCAGGGATTATAAAAAATAATATACTTTTTTAACTACTAGATAATATAATGGCTTAATAAATAAAATGAATAATAAAATAAGTAAAAAATATACCAAGCAAACCCAGGAAACTTATGTCATTTCTTATCTTGTATATCCACCCATTAGTATTTTATTTTAGACTACTTGGTCATCACTGTTCGTAAGTTTTATTATAATAAGTATTGTAGAAAGAAAAAGTTTCTAAAACAAAGAAAGCATAACTGACAACATAGAAAATGAAAATAAATTAATAATTTAAACAATTTGTGTAATGCTTTCATAATTTTTTTTAAGAGTGATTGTTATTTTTTTAAATAAGGAGCATTTAAATATTAGTTAAAGTGGCCGTCTGAAACTAGCTGAGCAACTTTTCAAAACATAAGCGTGTATACCATCAATACACATACCCTTTGAAATATCAAAGGATAATAATACAACTTCTTATCTAGAATAAGTATTTTTATACTTTGATTATAACTTTTGTAACAACCATCTTTTTATTTTAAATGTCGAAATTACCCTTGACAAAATATTGTTTAAAATTTTTTTAATTTATTCTTTAAAAGTAAAAATATAAATTGCAAATACCAATTAAAACTTAAAGAACATTCAACTAACTAATTTAGTTTATGATAATAAAAACTTTAATATACTAACATAGAGAACAAAATACCTGATTTTTTAAACAACCATCATCATCCTCTGCGGGTTCTGCTGATGAATCATCTACCAAACAGGGGTCGTTTAAAGTGGACTCTAACTATATAAAAGTATTTATTATTATTAACAATTCATACCAAATTATTAACAAATTGTTTGTTTTAAATAAATATTATCTTGTAACAATAGCAACAACATAAATAATGTAAACAAACAAAAAATGACAAAAGCAAAATATGTAAAACAAGCAGGGATGAGAACTACAAATATTGGACATATTTTAGTAGAAAATAAAATGTAACGTTGATTCAGTATAATATAATACTATAGCGTAATATATAACACATATTTTATATCCTGAAAAAGTTAGAAGTTTAAGCAGAATGAAAAACTATATCAAATAGATAAACATGCTTATATGTATATATAAGTGTTAATGAAATAATTCCTGGAAAGGCTTGGATTTGATGAATATATTATTGACTGATGTTACCCATTTGAGTTAAATATTTTATATTTATTTTGTTTACCCATAAACTTTAATACTTAATAAATAGAGACAAATATAACTAAATAAAGCAATTTACAAAACACACTATCTGTATGGCAGCAAATAATAATAAAAAAAAAAGACATTTACTAGCAGAGTACTAAATTAGTACAAACTTTTTGAAACTTTTATGTCATCATATTGTATTCTTAATTAAAAAAAACAACTTTTAAAATAACTGCATAAAGCAATTTGTAAATGCATCACTTGTACATTGGCAGATTAATGTTTAATCTTGTAAAAGGGTGAATAAAAAGATAAGGGCAAAAAGGATGAAAAAGCAAAGACTGCAAAAACAACAACCACCAAAAATTGTTTTTTTTTAAAGATTGCAAATAAGAAAAATATGTAGAACAACCAATCTTTTTAGAAACAATTTAGCTTTAACTTTAACTAAAAATTAAAAGGAATTTTCTAAAACAAAATAAAGAACTTGTCAACAAAACCATATTAAATATTTAACAGGCTGTTAAACCCATTCAATATAAAAAAACTTTAACGATATATAAGACATATTTAAATGCTGCTTAATGTTTAAAAAACTTTTGAAACAACCATCTTGTTTATATACAAAAAAAACTTCATAATCACTGAAAAAATAGTTAGTAAAAACGAAAATCACCTCAGAAAATTGTATAACTTATATTATTTATATTAAAAAGACCAATTTAGAAAGACATCTATATTCTTTTGGGCTTAATCTAGATCAGAGAAGATTTTGATTTTTGCAACTAATTGAGTTTCATCAGCAAATCACTTTCCGAAATTAAATTAAAACTCAGGCATGTCCTAAATAAAAATTAAAAACAGTAGAGCAATAACTGAGCCCCTGGGAACTCCACTCAGAACATCATTTTAATCAAAAATAGAGTCACTAAGAAAAATATGTTGTTTTTCTTTTGCTCAAAAATTTTTTTTATTAAAGTGAAGATTATGTCAAAAGATCCATTTCCATTTAGTTTCAGGAGGAGAAAATGTGTTAAGCACAATCAAATGCTTTAGTAAAGTCTAAAAGTACTAATAGTGTAAAGCAACAATCATTGAGGCCTTCGATAATAATGTCTAATACTTCTAAAAGATTAGTCATACACAAACGATTTTAAACAAATCCATATTGTTGACAAGATAATAAACTGTGGCTGTAAAAATGGTTTGCCATAAAGTCACAAAAATTTTCCAAATAAAAGAAGTTAGTGAAATAGGCCATAGCTTTATGGATTAGCATGACATTCTTTCATGTAAATGGGTGAGACATTTTAACACTTTTAACACAATGGAATTTGACAGGAATTAAGGAGCATATAAATATTAGTGAAAGTGGACAACTGAAACTAGCTAAGCAAATTTTTAAAATATAATCATGTATACCATTCATACCTATACCCTTTCAAGTATCAAGGGATGATAATAAAACTTCTTATCTAGAATAAGTATTTTTATACTTTGATTATAACTTTTGTAACAACCATCTTTTTATTTTAAAAGCCGAACTCACCCTTGACAATATATTCTCCAAATTTAAAACTTTAATATACTAACATTGAAAACAAAATACCTGATTTTTCAAACAACCTTCATCATCCTCTGTGGGTTCTGCTGATGAATCATCTACCAAACAGGGGTCGTTTAAACTGGAGTCTAACTGTATAAAAGTATTTATTATTGTGTACAATTTATACTAAATTATTAACAAATTGTTTGTTTTAAATGAATATTATCTTGTAACAATAGCAACAACATAAATAATGTAAACAAACAAAAAATGACAAAAGCAAAATATGTGAATCAAGCAGGGATGAGAACTGCAAATATTGGACATATTTTAGTAGAAAATAAAATGTAACGTTGATTCAGTATACTATAATACTATAGCGTAATATATAACACATATTTTATATCCTGAAAAAGTTAGAGGTTTAAGCAGAATGAAAAACTATATCAAATAGATAAACATGCTCATACTTATTTATACTAAAAATATAACACAATTTACTTGAAACTTGTGTTAAAATGTTATTATGAAGAGCAGCATTAAACAAAATAATAAAGTATCGCAAGCTTGTTAACTAAAAATTCTGTGTTATAATTAAGCAAACTCACACTCACAATATCAGATTTTAAAAAAGGAGAAGTAAAGTGAAATTACTCTCAAAACTTTATTTGAAAAATTAATAAAAACGCTTATGATTAAATTATTCATTAATAATTTTTAGAAACTGTTTAGTCGTACTCAAACAATTTTAAACAAACCCATATTATCGACAGAATAATAAATTTTGGGTGTACAAATGGTCTGCCATGAAGTCGCAAAAATTTTCTATAACATTGCAAAATAAAAGAAGTTAGTGAAATAGGCCATAGTTTTATGTATTAGTATGACATTCTTTTTTGTGAATGGGTGAGACATTTCAACACTTTCAACACAATGGAATTTGACAGGAATTAAGGAGCATATAAATATTAGTGAAAGTGGACAAGTGAAACTAGCTAAGCAACTTTTTAAAATATAATCATGTATACCATTAATATCTATACCCTTTCAAGTATCAAGGGATGATAATAAAACTCCTTATCTAGAATAATTATTTTTATACTTTGATTATAACTTTTGTAACAACCATCTTTTTATTTTAAATGTCGAAATTACCCTTAACAAAATGTTGTTTAAAATTTTTTTAATTTATTCTTTAAAAGTGAAAGTATAAATTGCAGATACTAATTAAAAACATTTAACTAATTACTTTATTTTATAATAACTAAAACTATAATATACTAAAATTGAAAATAAAATACCTGATTTTTTAAACAACCTTCATCATCCTCTGTGGGATCTGCTGATGAATCATCTACCAAACAAGGGTTCTTTAAACTGAACTCTAACTATATAAAAGTATTTATTATTGTTGACAATTCATACTAAATTATTAACAAATTGTTTGTGTTAAATGAATATTATCTTGTAGCAATAGCAACAACATAAATAATGTAAACAAACAAAAAATAACAAAAGCAAAATATGTAAAACAAGCAGGGATGAGAACTACAAATATTGGACATATTTTAGTAGAAAATAAAATGTAACGTTGCTTCAGTATACTATAATACTATAGCGTAATATATAACACATATTTTATATCCTGAAAAAGTTAGAGGTTTAAGCAGAATGAAAAACTATATCAAATAGATAAACATGCTCATACTTATTTATACTAAAAATATAACACAATTTACTTGAAACTTGTGTTAAAATGTTATTATGAAGAGCGGTATTAAACAAAATAATAAAATATCACAAGCTTGTTAACTAAAAATTCTGTGTTATAATTAAGCAAACTCACCCTCACAATATCAGATTTTAAAAAAGGAGAAGTGAAGTGAAATTACTCTCAAAACTTTATTTGAAAAATTACTAAAAATGCTTATGATTAAATTATTCATTAATAATTTTTAGAAACTGTTTAGTCGTACTCAAACAATTTTAAACAAATCCATGTTGTCGACAGAATAATAAATTGTGGGTGTACAAATGGTCTGCCATAAAGTCGCAAAAATTTTTCTATAACCTTGCAAAATAAAAGAAGTTAGTGAAATAGGCCATAGCTTTATGGATTAGCATGACATTCTTTCTTGTGAATGGGTGAGACATTTTAACGCTTTTAACACAATGGAATTTGACAGGAATTAAGGAGCATATAATTATTAGTGAAAGTGGACAACTGAAACTAGCTAAGCAACTTTTTAAAATATAATCATGTATACCATTCATACCTATACCCTTTCAAGTATCAAGGGATGATAATAAAACTTCTTATCTAGAATAAGTATTTTTATACTTTGATTATAACTTTTGTAACAACCATCTTTTTATTTTAAAAGCCGAACTCACCCCTGACAATATATTCTTCAAATTTAAAACTTTAATATACTAACATTGAAAACAAAATACCTGATTTTTCAAACAATCTTCATCATCCTCTGTGGGTTCTGCTGATGAATCATCAACCAAACAGGGGTCGTTTAAACTGGAGTCTAACTATATAAAAGTATTTATTTTTGTGTACAATTTATACTAAATTATTAACAAATTGTTTGTGTTAAATGAATATTATCTTGTAACAATAGCAACAACATAAATAATGTAAACAAACAAAAAATGACAAAAGCAAAATATGTAAAACAAGCAGGGATGAGAATTACAAATATTTGACATATTTCAGTAGAAAATAAAATGTAACGTTGATTCAGTATACTATAATACTATAGCGTAATATATAATACATATTTTATATCCAGAAAAAGTTAGAAGTTTAAGCAGAATGAAAAACTATATCAAATAGATAAACATGCTCATACTTATTCATACTAAAAATAAAACACAATTTACTTGAAACTTGTGTTAAAATGTTATTATGAAGAGCAGCATTAAACAAAATAATAAAGTATCGCAAGCTTGTTAACTAAATAGTCTGTGTTATTATTAAGCAATCTCACCCCCAAAATATCAGATTTTGAAAAAGGAGAAGTGAAGTGAAATTACTCTCAAAACTTTATTTGAAAAATTACTAAAAATGCTTATGATTAAATTATTCATTAATAATTTTTAGAAACTGTTTAGTCGTACTCAAACGATTTTAAACAAACCCATATTGTCGACAGAATAATAAATTTTGGGTGTACAAATGGTCTGCCATAAAGTTGCAAAACTTTTCCATAACCTTGCAAAATAAAAGAAGTTAGTGAAATATGGCCTGTAGTTTTATGGATCGGTACGACAACCTTTTTATGTATACACGCTTATGTTTTGAAAAGTTGGATCAGTACGACAACCTTTATACAAGTATACATGCTTATGTTTTGAAAATATGCTTAGCTAGTTTTAGACTGGTCATCTGAAACTAGCTGATCAACTTTTTAAAACATAAGCGCGCATAACATCAATACCCATAGTATTGATGATATACACAATTATGTTTTGAAAAGTTGCTCAGTTAGTTTTAAAATGACAGTCTGAAACAAGCTGAGCAACTTTTAAAAACATAAATACCCATACCCTTTGAAGTATCAAGGGATGATAATAAAACTTCTTATATAGAATAAGAATTTTTATACTTTGATTATAGATTTTGTAATAACCATCTTTTTATTTTAAAAGTTGAACTTACCCCTGACAATATATTCTTCAAATTTATTAAATTTATTCTTTTGAAGTGAAAATATAAATCATAGATACTAATTAAAAACATTAAACTAATTACTTTGTTTTATGATAAATAAAACTTTAATATACTAACATTGAAAACAAAATACCTCAATCTCAAAACAACCATAATTATCTTTTGTGGTTTCTGCTAATGAATCTTCTCCCAAACAAGACTTGCATAAACAGAATTTTAGCTACATAAAACATTTTTTTAATACTTACAATTATCAGTAAATTTATATATTACAGTTTATATTAAATTATAATTACAATAGCAACAACAAAAGTAATATAAACTAACAAAAAATGAGACAAAAACTAAATATTTAAAGAAAAGCAGGGATGTGAACTAGCAATATTTTACTTTTTCCAGTAGAAATAAATGCATCGTTGGATTATTAGAAGATTAGTTTTTTGCAGTATACACCTTTTTTATGGTAGAGAACTTGAAATGTATTTACTAAGGTTTTAACTGTAGAAATGTGTACTAAACTATTCAAAAATTAAACATTTATTACCTAAATATATAAATAATTTTTAAGGATTGAATTTTTCTCTATAAATCAAAATTCAAGGTGATTAAAGTTTGTCCTTTTATCCTACACCTAGTGTATATTATTTTAGATGATGATATGTACTATCTGAAACTATTTAATTATCTTTATTTTTATTTTTTTGTCAATCGGAATATAATTTTTATTCAATTAATGAACATCTTTAAAATTAAGTAAACAATCATTACACTTTTTGCGACAAAAAATGTGTTTTCTGATGCATTTTTATGGGAAAGTTTAAACTTTTTATAAAAATCCTTCAAAGCTTTTTCTTTTTATCAATTTAAGTAAATTATATGATTGAAAAATTGCAATGCTTTTGATAAAGAATTGATAAAGCTTGCATCTCAATAAAGCAAATACTCTATATCAAATATATAAAATTATAAAGCTGTTTTTATGTAGGAGACCGTGCAACAAATATCTGAAGAAATCCTATAGGCTTAAGCATTTTCTAAAAAGTATGACATAGCAGACTGAACGATCAGTTGGCATTTAAAGAAACAAGAAAATAGAGAAAATTTAAAGAAAACTGGTCCTAAAATTATGTTACATGAATTTGAAGAATCACAATGGGTTGAATGGTTTTTTTTATCATCTATTTTGGGTGATCCTAAAGCAAACAATGGTTTAATTAAGGGGTCTGACAATACGAATCGTTAACCTTCTCTAATTGATTCATGTCTTGTTTCTGATCCTAGTCAATGCTCATTTTCTCCACATTCACCATTTGGTACTTCTGATCATGGTTTAATTACTCTAAAACTACTATCTCATTCTTCTTCATCATCATATTCCTCCTATTATTGTACCTCTTACAACTACCTTAAAGGTGATCAAAACTACCTTAAAACAGACTGTTTCCGTGTGATGGTCTTTGGGTAGAAATGTTTTCTCTTCCTGATGAAAAATGTGCTTCCTATGTAACTTCTTGGATTTAGACTGGCATGGAATCTTTTTTTCCTTCTCAACAATTCCAAGTCAAGTCTTACTCTTCTCTATGGTTTTCCGCTTATTCTGCTGCTGAAACTTCCAATTGGAACCATTACTTCCATATCTATAGCCAAAGCAATTCTTTAGAAAACAGGCATCTGTTTACCATTGCTAGAAACCATTGTAAAAAGGTTTTGTCCAACGCGAAAGCCAGCTATTCTCAGGTTACAAAATTTTGTGTTGCAAGTATCAAAAAGAATTTTATTATAATATTTTATTATTGATAAGCACAGAAGCTAATGAAACAACTTAAGAGTGATATAAGGAATTAGATAAGATTATAATGAGAGAGAAGTTATGAGGCAAAATGGATTTGCATAAGAAACCAAAATCTTTTATAACACAGTACAGATAGGTTATACAAAATTAAGTAGATAGTGTAGAACAATGACATAATAATATAACAAGATGCGTGACTCTCAGCTTTTTGTGAAAAACTTAGTGAAGCCAGCGTCCGCCATTTTGCGGTACGGCAAAAAAATAATTCGCAACAATGAAAACAGAGAATTATTTATCAGAATAATAATTAATCATAAAATATGATTAATTGAGCACCTATAAAAAACTAATTTTCACTATAATTTTAACTATGTGTATATATGTATATGTATATATATATATATATATATATATATATATATATATATATATATATATATATATATATATATATATATATATATATATATATATATATATATATATATATATATATATATATGTATATATATATATGTATATATATATATATATATATATATATATATATATATATATATATATATATATATATATATATGTATATATATATATATATATATATATATATATATATGTATATATATATATATATATTTATATGTATATATATATATACATATATATATATATATATATATATATATATATATATATATATATATATATATATATATATATATATATATGTATATATATATATATATATATATATATATATATATATATATATATATATATATATTTCAAATTTTTATTTAATTTTTTTTAAATTAGATTTTTTATTTAATTTTATTTAAATTATACCAAACATGACTTAATTTTGAAATATTTGATAATATTAGAGATTCGTTAAATGTATAGGCACCTCTAAAAATGTTTTAATAAAAAAATAATAATTTCAGATTTAATTTAATATATGTTTACAATAACATTAATCGCGTGAGTATAAATAAAATTATCATTATTACCTTGTTATATTAAACTCAATTGATTTTCCTAAACTGTTGGCTAATAATTAATAAAGCAAATTTCAAATAATGAAAATTTCTTAAGTTTAAAACATATTTTAACATTAGGAAACCAAAAATAAAACAGTAGAAGTATTTGTATATTAATAAAGGTACAATTAAAAAAATGAAAATAATTCTAATAATTAAAATTAATTATAATAATTAAAAATAATTATAATAATTAAAAATAATTATGATAATCAAAAATAATTATATAAAAGATAAAACATTTTGTAAAATTAATTTTATTTAAACTAAGTAAAGCAAAATTTGTTAAAAGTCACACATTTTGACACAGATTCAATAGCAAAATGCTAACAATTATAGTGCAAGAAAAATAACACTTTTGTTTAATTTCTGTCGAAGACCTGCTTTTATATCCTTAAATAAGTTCGCGGTAATATTTTTGACCATACGTTTTTAATCTAATGGTTAAAAATCTAGCAGCATCATTTTTTATCAATTCAACAACATGTAAGTCTTCGTTACAATGATCATAGTCAAAGTGATCATTCAGCATTGGAAAAATATTGACATAAGGCGAAAGTTTACATAAAACCACACTCAAAATAATAACATTAATGTTCTGCTTAGCAGTAATTGTAGTTGAATTTGAGCCACATACACTAACTTTAAAAGCTTTTTCACAAGTTTCAACAACTTTGACAACACCTGAGGGTGGAAAAATCAACCCTCCTTAATTTTTATGCAAAATAAAACTGTGTATGTGTCCTATTGGTATTGGTATTACCATAGCTAAGATGGTCATTGACTGAAGACATAATTCCAGTTGTTGTTAATGCTTGGGCACAAATTGTGCACTCAATACTGGGTCATTCCATGCCAAGTAAACCAGGGTCAAACATGGACCCCCTCAGATTTTGATGAAACTTAGTGGGTTGGTTTATATCAATGAGAAAAGCTGAAAATTTCAGCTTCAAATCTTATGTGGTTCATGAGATATGGCCATTTGAAATTTCTGATTTTTCCAAAAATAAAAACTTCAGTAGCAAAAACATGTTTTGTTCATACTTTGAAGCTCTGTATTTTAAAAACTAAATTTCAGAAAACCTTCTAGTTTTTTTTATCATATACAATGCTAGTCTTACTTTGTTAAAACTTTGACATTAAATTTTTAAATGTCACATTTTATTCATAATGGCTGCCTAAAAAACCGAAAAAATTGTTTGCAGATATAGAAAGTTGATTTTTGATGGGTCAATATACAAAACTAGCAATTTAAGAAGTAAAAATACATATCTTTTTAGTTTCTATATATGGTAGGCTTCCTAATTTTCAGAAATTTGCTGATATGATACAATTCAGTAAGAAATTATGGACCCCTAAAAATGGCTCCGGCTAGAACTTACAAAATTGTGCCTTCCCTTAAATCCACTGGTAACCTATGATCAACACTGATTTTCATGATATACCTTTTTTCTACTCATTTAGTAGACTTTATTAAAGTGATTTCAGAAAAAAAAATAGTGGGTACTCATGGAGAAGTTACAAAGTCAGAACAATGAAGTCGGCACAAAATGCATTAAAAACGCAAAAAATAGAGATATTGATGTACTTTAGTATTCATTATTTACTGCAATGCAAAAAAATGTATATATATATATGAAAGTATATCAAAATCATTGCTACAAATTAGCTTTAAATTAGGACTGAATTAAACTCAGGTTTTAAATAACCTTAGTTGCCCCCCCCCCACCCTGTCTTTTTATTTTTTTAAATGCATATTTTTGCCCAGAACATTCTTATCTTAAGAAGAACTTATTTCTCGATAACATTTTAAACTACTGTTTATTAAACATTTTAGCTTACGCAGTGTTTCTGTTATTATATCTGATGCATGAAGTATCTTTATGCACCAAGTATTTAACATACTCAAATAATAGCTGTGTTATTTATTTGTAAACGCTTATTAGACACAACACATTTTTGCTTCTATATCAATTATTATCTTGCAGTTTTATATTCTGACTTAAATTTAGTATCATTTTCCCCATTTTATTATTGTCATGTTTAAATTTAGATTACAGATTATATCAAGTGATAAGAGTAATTTGATTTGTCATTGCAATACACAAGTTTATTATGTAATTATATAATACGTATTATGCATTAAAAAACATTATTTAATAAAAAATCAACATAAAGATGGAATCATTCAAGTATGTTTTAATACATTTTTTCGATTGATCAAGCTTATAAAAATTTTGCTTTGTTATTATATAATTTCGTTATTAAACATTCTATTGTACAAATGTATTATTTCAGTTTTTTCTTGAGCTGATAGTTCATAGCATCTTCCAGTTGCTGATTGCACTTTTAAAGATGAAATTTTGCATAGAACGTGCATTATTGGAA